TTCCTTTCTTGTCTTGCCCAAAAACTTTCTTTATTCTCATTGGAGAAAGACTCTCCCGCGGCAAGGTTGATCAGTCACCCGGGCAAACAACCCTCCTCCAAGAAGAATTGTGCTATGCCCCCCCGATCCCTATAGAGCGAAAGAGCTGCCTGGTGATCCCTAGGTTGCAGCACGTCCGGTCGTTAACTCCTCGCCTTTTTCCTTTCCTTGTATTGTATTAAATTGAAATAAAAGCTAAAGCACTTTCTTTTAAGAATGTATCTGGTTCCATCTTTCTTTCGTTAGTTAAGCCACCTTTTTAAAGAGATGCCATAAATGGGGCAGTAAAAATTGGAAAGGGTGTGGGGAAAAGTAGTTTAATGATGAAGTTTTACATAGGCAAAATGATGTAACTCATGCACAAATTTTCATGATGGAGTTCCCCAACTAGTGCTTACTTTCCTCATGGTCTCTGTCTATTTGCCTCAAATGTGTGTCCAAAACCTTTCATCTCCAAAATATTTTCCAAATCTTCATGTGATAATGATGTTACTCCCTTCGTCTCACTTAGTTTAACGTGACACAAAAAATTTTAATTTTTTTTTTTTGAAATTTATAATCTGATTTGAGTGATTAATATTTGTGGAGATCATTTCATTAAGAATACATGTGCAGATCAAAGTTAAATTAGTAGTACCAATATAAAATGTGTCATTATGTTTGGTATTGATTAAAAAAAAATGAGTCATAGGATATATCATAAGGTTAACACATCTGTTTTATTTTTATTTTTAAAAAAAATAATCATTTTTTGTAATTTTTATATTTAAATTATAAGGTGTAGTATCTCTTTGAAATATGATATTTCATATTTAAAACTTCTTTAAAAGGTCAAGTGATCGATTGAGATGAGTTTCATAATTTTTATGGTGTTGTGAGCTCACAATATTTTCGGTTCACTTCGTCACACTCTCGATTAACAGAAGGCTTGAGCAGTGCGGGAGACTGGGGAATGAGTCGAATAAACTCCCCTGGGGCCGGAAAAATAACAGACGAAGCTTTACTTAGATAGGGCTTTGATTGGTCTTTTTTTTTTCTTAGTGATTGGAAAGGAGTTTCCCTTTATTTTATTTTATTAATTATTTTTCTCTTTTCTTATATATTTCGTTTTCCTGATTACTTTTTGTTCTTCAAAATTCTATTGCTTTTGCTTATAACAATAAACAAAATTGAAACCATAACCCTAAAATAAAAACAGCACAAAATCATGATGCATGTAATTTTCTAATAAATTCCACGACATTTAAATTCTTTACTATTTTCTAAAAAGTAAAATCGGAAAATACTTCCCTATAAATGGAAACCATTAAAACTCTAAAAGATATACGTGAAGTTTCACGACTAGCTTACCTTATAGAGTCGCAAAAGTCAAATTTAGCTGTAAAAAATTACATATTTAATGATTATATAGCTTAGATTATCTTAAAAACAATAAAACTATATATCAACATTCAAAATGAAGATTGAATCTATACTTCATAAAAAAAAATCATACATTTATAGGTAGAATTTAACTTGTTGGTGGAATACTAGTGAAAAAGGCCTAATAAGATGGAATTATTCTATACCTATAGAGAAAAAGGCAAAGATTGCGCGTGCTTCATAAAATCAGAAAAGATAAGATCAAAAAAATACCAATCATGCTTGTTCCTTTCTTCATATTTACTCCAACTAAAGTTTCCCTTTAGAACAAGAGGGTGTGATCCTCCTCGTTTAAATAAATAAATACATTAATAAAAAAAAGATATGCTAATAATATATCGAAAATGCAAAATTAATTATTCTTAAGTGAATATTATTAACTAATATTCTCTTTGTCCTTTGACAAAACTAGCTAGGGCCTTGGGATGTGTGTAAACAAATTGAAATTTCTTTGTAGTGACAAAAAAAAGCCACACTTTGTGTCAAATAAACAGGTTAAAATGATAGATTATTGACCCATTCAAAATTTATTTGAACTGGAATGGACTAAAATGTATGTTATTATAATTTAACTTGTTTCATTTTTTATTAAGTTTTAATTATTTTATACTAATTTTTTTTATGATCGTGGTGTTTGGGTCAGCTTTCGCGTGCCTAATAGATACCAAGTAACTCTATCTACCAAGGACAGAAGTTAGGACACATGAGAAGAATTAACTAGAGTTTTTTGTCTACATTGAGCTTTGAACATGAGACCTCATCTCAGAGTTTTCAATCATTTCATTCATCGTAGACCATACCGTTAAATGCAAAATAAAACTTCTTTTGTTTTCTCTCTTTATCGTCGCTATATATACCAAATAAAATTAAGGAATGTTTTTTAAAAATATTTTGACAAAATTTTTCATGAATCAATTATAGCTATATATATATATATCAATCTAAATTTTAATAGATTGAAATGAGATGAACTAATACATCAACAACTTATATTTTTCTGGACTAAAATGTGATGCTCCTAGTCTCTATAGAAATCATGACTCAGTTATATGTCTGAGATTGCATTCATAATATGCTATAACCTACGTTATTAATCTAATACTAACCTATCACAAAGGAGCATAAAACATGATGTATGGTCAAAACAAATAATTAGAACTTGCAAAATTGCTCTCTTATAAACTAAAGGAACAAGTTTGTCGCTTTATAATATATAATCTTAGTGTAAAGTTTGATTATTATCTCTTGATAACTTTTAGTAAATTTATTGGTCAAACACATAACATATTGCTTACTAAATTTTATTTCTAGGAAATTTGTAATTATGGTCAATATTTGGAAATCAATAGCCATTCACTTATTCTTGAATAATTAGTTAATGCACCTCTATTAGGACGTATATTATGAGTTGAAACCTCGTTGATTAATGTATATCAGCAGATAACAAAGATAAATACATTGTTTTAAGGCCTATAACGATCTAGAATTAATATTAAATTTCATAATCAGATATTTATTCATATTTAATGTACATATATAAGGTGTCGGAAGAAACTATCATGAATTCACGTCCACTCATAACTTTTATATTACATATTCTACCCCTTTTGTATATGCAAACAATATATTCTTAATTCTTATCATGTACGTATAATATACATGTTTCATCGTTCACCTTCTTATGGTACAAATGGATCATTTGTTATTTAACACACGTTCAATAAATTTGAACAGAATATTTGATGTGAAATAAGTTTAATCGTGAAAATCATCGACGGTTCAAAACTATTTTTTATAACAAGAAAAATTAAAATCGTCTTTTCATGCAATCAACACCAATTTAAGACTAGCACATGGATAGCTTTTTATGAGTAAAAATATCTTCTCTAAATTTTCTACAAATTGACTCTCATCAATAAATAAATCTTATATTATTTTGTTCCATTAATTTGAGCTAACTGGAATTCTACTTGGTTTTTATGTACTTATATATGCTATTCTTAATTTATAATCTATTTAGTTACCAAATGGAAAAGCTAATGAAAACTATAATGAGAGAAATATGCATTGACAATGTAGAACAAACAAACAAAAAATATCCTTGCTCCTTTTTTGCTATAATTTTCTATTGAATCAACTAGAAGAAATCAATATGGATTCATCAATGAATATATCCTTGGAATAATATTCATGTTTGGATATATATGTTATAGGAGTACTTGTGGTAAATTACTAAATTTAACACATCCAAAGGCTCTAATCACACGAATAATATAAAGCATTAGTTATACATAACATAAAAAATATATCAAACAATTTATTATTAATATACATAGATGATGCATATATTTTTTGCTAATACACTCTACCAAACAATTCCTAATAGCTTTAACTTACATTTTTAATATTTAATTCTATAATTAATTACACTATACTAAGGAGTTCGGAGCGGGGAAAAATTGAGCAAAATTTCCAAAAGTAGGCATTTGGACATAATAAATGTAAAGTTTAGAGAGAACAGCATTTGAAAAAAAGTTGAAAATGATATTTTAGCATTGGAGTTGTGTAATTTGGACATGACTACAACTTGAGAAAAAGTTGAATTTTTGGAGTTAAAAATGGAAGTAAAAACATGTACATTTAAAATTTTGAAACAAATTATACTAACATTTTTATGTTCAAATATAATTCCATCCACAATTTATTTATGGACAAAATGATCCTAAATATGCTATGTTGGTAAATAACAATAACAATATAGCTTATGAAATTTACGCGTTAAATTTGAAGAGGGTAGAATATATTGACCTCCAGGTAAAATATATTCTATTTTCCATGATTTCTTAGGGCCCGTTTGGCCATAGATTTCCCAAGTAAAACTTGGGAAAAAATTTGGCAAATATTGTTTGTCCATACACTTTCTCATTATTTGGCAAATTTTTTTGGCAAATAACCCAAATTCCCAAATACTAGTTTTTTCTAGTATTTGGGCCAAATCTCATTATTTGGAAAGTTTTAAAAATTCAAATTTAACACCAAACTTTTATCTTTTACAAAACACTTTATTTATTAACACCAACCAACTCAATCAAATCTCCATTTGCTAACTAACTCAATTAATAAATTTTTCTATTATAAAGAGCTTTCATGTACAAGAGCATACATTGCAATATTTATTTCCTTCTGTTTTCTTCTTCTTTTTCAAATTCATATTAGTTGTATTTTCATTATCATGATTTGTACTAGTCTTTTTTAACGATGCGACTATTTACTATAATGATGCTTTTTGATTTGTTGCGGAAGTCATGAATCTTGTTACGCGACATTTCTATTTTGCTATGTAATACAAATTTATGGTTAGTTTTGATAGTTTTAAAAACTTATGGGCATAAGTCATATTTCTTAAAAAAATGAAATATATTTCCCAAATACTATGGCCAAACACATGGTGAAATTTCACCCAAATCTTCACCCAAATAATATTTGCCAAATATATTTGGAAATCTATGGCCAAACGCTAGCTTAGAAAAAGGAAATGACACATATGCAGGATTTTCTCTTTTTATTTTTCTTGAAGAAAATTAAAATAAAATTATAGGGCATCACGTGCTTTCCATGTGACGCCGGTCGGCGAGAGCCGGAAGGACGAGAAGACGATGAAATGAGTGTTGAAAGACTCCATCTCCGTTCTCTCCTCAGTCCCTGCGGCTGCCAGATTCATCAATGAAGAAAATTCCTCAATTCCACAGTCCCAATTTACGTAATTGCGTGCGTCGACCTCTGAAATCAAGGTAAATTAAGTTTTTGATTTTGCTTCTGCTTTTCGTTCAGCCTATATGGATTCGATCAAGTAAATGTTATTACTTTGTTTCGATTCGCTTCTCGCAGTGTGATTATTATGCATATAATAAAATTGCTTAAGCATCATATAAATTCTGTATTCGAAGATCAAGGGCTTGATCAACACAAACTAGTATATTTGTGCTTGCTTTTCAGTTTGAATTCCACTTAAAATGATATGAAGCGCCATTTCTCATATTCAATTGGCTACCGGACTCCATTTATTGAATTTGGTTTTAGCTATATTGAGAGCTTCCGTTTTTACGAGCTTCATCTAATTATAATAGACAACCACACTCCTGACCAAATTATTGCTCAATCTACAAAAAGAGTTTTCTTAACAGGTAAGTATTGTTAAGATATTATTAGATAATTAAGCTTCTTTGCATATCCTTCAATCTTCTACTATTTTACTGATCCTTGGTTGTGTTAATTGGATATCCGAGAGCTTATGACTCCAGGATATTGCAGCAGAGTTGAACATTTTTCTGTTGGAGGTTTGGTTATGGATTTGTCTAGAGGAAACTGATAGGGGATAAGGTTTAGATCAAATCATTAATGTCTACATAAGGTGGCTGTTAGTGAAGATGAAAATTATAAGCCTCCAATTGGTCTGGAGCCTAACAAACCAACTGAAGTAACTTAAATATTGGAAAACTGAGCCTAGAAACAATGTCGTGAGTGTTCTTCACTGGAAATAGGTGAAGTAGTTAAAGCTTTGAACAGAGAGATAAGTTGCTTGGTACCGTCTGTCCCCTCTGGATTTTAGTCGAATATAGCCAAGCGAATGGAACGAATCATCTCGTTTTGATTGAATACGGACATGGTAGTTTTGACTTAGGCTCACCTACGTCCCATTTTGATGACAACTGAATAAGTATGTGCTTTTAGAGACAAAAAAAGCTGAACGTTTAGAGCTGGATCTCAAGCAGCAAACACCTATAAGTGGAAGCCAATCTCATGCTAGATGCAGCATTGTTCAGGGGTAGATTTAGAGTTGGCTGGCTGCCTATTGGTATTCTCATATATTCTGGTGTCAGTTGAGGATATTGCCAATATAACAGCAGAAAACTCTGAAATATGGAGGCTTGCAACATCTGTGGTGGATCCAAAATCAGATATTGAAGATTGAGACCTGGAAGCTTGAATATGTATATTGTTTTTATGGAGAAGTTCCTTGAGAATGTTAGATTTACATCCTGAAGTAGAATGCTCTTTTATTGTTCTGACTTGAGATATGGTTAGCCCATATTATTGAAAGATAAAAAACCTGAATGGAAATGATAGTAAGCTGCACGTTAATTTTATCAAGTCTTAAATGTTCCATCAGAAGACAGCATACTGATAAAGCAAAGTCTTCCACCATTATTGGAACAAAGTCTGTTTAGCTGGATCTGACCTGTATGGTTGCTCAATAATGCTGATCGATAGTTTCCTTTACCAGGCAGGGGGTTAAATATTTTCATACTCATGCATAGTGCAGAAGTGAAATGAATACCTCTTTGAAATAATTCATTGTTAAAGCATATTTTTACTGGCTGGAGACTCCTGAAAATAATAGCAATTTATGTGCAGACTTCATCCCGCTTAAACTAAAATTTGGTTGTTATGGTTGTCTGTTGATGCAAGGAAATTAGCATTACCAAAACATGAGACTAGCAGGTTTGCTGCTTGTCCACACCCTACACCCCTGATGCGGTTTCCCAAACCTCTAAAGCTGTATTACATTCCTGTCATGTTTCTAACACTGGACCCTTGAAGTACTATGCTCAAGCTTATCTTGATTCTTGACAGAGTTATTTTGAGCTTCTGTACCCTTTGCATGGAAACCATAAATAGTTCCCTTTTGTTTGTCTGCTCAACCCTTAAAGATTTTTGCTATAATCGCAATCCTTAGAACATGTAAAGCAAACACAAATAATAAAGACAATGATTAGAATAAATAAGAACCTTACTTAGCAGAGAAATGAAGAATTGTGTTCCTTGTTGAAGATAAGTGAGTTCAACATGTGGGGTGGAAAGTTATTTATTCTAAATATTGCTAGATGTATGCTAATATATGCCTAGTAACTTCGCCGTTCTGTACCTAGTTAAAAAATACTTAATTCCATTTATGGAGGGACTGTAATGGTTAACTGGGAATACTTTGTAATGGAACTGTTCTTTATTTATGTCATTAAATGATTTAAATTTGAACATTCTGTCTCACTTATATCGTGGTGCAAACATGCAGTGCCATTTAAAACCTTCTCTTGTATCAGCTGATAGAACTTTCTCCATTGGTTTATATTGTGGTAAAGTATCCCCTGAATTTGAGGTTTTAACAAGATGGTTCACGTGGATGCTGGCAAGTTCTTTTAGTGTAACAGGAGCTCCAAAGCTGTAAGTTGTAACTCATGGATGTTTGATTCCCTTCAGTGTGGTTTATTCCGAGATAACTGAAGCGATGCAATTTTCTATGATTGATGGAAGTGGAAGTTCAACAAATGTGGGAGGCTTAGCTACCTGGTGTAGGGGTGTGATACCATGTTTAAGTCAGCTAAGCTACTATAATTCCACATTTAATGCATTCATCCTGAAGAGGTCAGTGTACGTTATTTTCCGTATGCTCTCTTTTACATCTTAACTTTGTGTGGTAGTGCCATAGCTCCCTATTCATCAAGCTTTGCACATTCTACCCTTATATATGTAATGAATTTTTTGAGTAATTCTAGTCATTGCTGAATAACTTATCGCCTTATCTAGGACTACCTCCTTTTTTACCCAAAAAAATTAAATTGAGTGCTATTCATTTGTTTTTGTTGCTTTTTCCGGGTTATGTATCCTATCCTTGTAAATTATTCAAAACTTGTGATGTGAAGGAGAAGGGTAGTCATTTATCTTGGATTCCAGTCATTGTTTTTGGAAAAAATTGAAAATATAGGATAAATGGTATGAATGGAAATATCAACAGCACGAAAAGTGTGGTTGGAACTTTTGAATACATTGATTGATGATATCTTTTGGTCAATTATAGTCACCTCTCAGGTATAGTATTGGCCTTTGGGACTACGAATTGGTTCACTAGAATAAAGATTGGGGACAAATGTGACGTGTCTGTATATATCAAAAGAAAAAAAGTGATCTGATTTGTCCAAAGCTGTTGAAAGGCAAATAATAGCTCTTTGAACCCAAAAAAAAAACACTGTAAAAGGAAAAGCACATAACCTTCACAGGCTTTCAATATCATACTATAAAGCTTTGTTTTTCTCTTCACCCTTTTTCAGAAGGATAAACAGTGACTTCCTCATCAGTGTGACCACATTGTGAAAGCTCCCCTTCCTTTCAAGTGTTGTCCTGGTTGGAACAACTCTGTATTCTCCCCAACATAACCCATAATCAAGAGAATTGTTGAACTAAGTTGTGGGAACTCTTCACTTTCGATGCCGCACCCATGTCGGATTCTCCAAAAATAGTGTATTTTTGGGGAATATGACATGCACCCAATTGACTTTTTTGAAGAATCCGAGCAACATAGTTGTTGAGTAGTTAATCAAACAATAATGTCCTAATTCTATATTAGTGTGATTTGCAGTATATTTCTCTGTATCCATTCCGCTCAGTTCAGGTTCAATATCACGGTTCAACTAATTTTACGATGATTGTAATAAGCCTATTAATAGATAAAAGATTAACTTCCATTTGCTTGTTGCTGCATATTTTAGATTTTCATTTCCACTGAAAGCATTTGCATATACAATATTTGTTAGCATTATGAAGAAACGAGCAAAAGAATAAAGGTGAATCAAATAAAGCATTGGCCTTTCTGCATAAGGAAATTCTAGGATGCATTCGAATCTGACGTCAACGGCGTAGATGGAGGTAGTGGGCTTCTGGTTTCGTTACTACTTTTGGATTTGGCAATTGGAGGAGACTGCAAAGAAACTGACGATGGATTTGAAGGAGTCGTCTTATTCGAGCTACTCTGAGGTTTCTTGTTGTTTGATGGATTTGAAGATGTAGTCGGCTTATTCGAGCTGCTCTGCGGTTTCTTCTTGTCCCCTTCACCCGATGGATTCGAAGACGGAGTCTGGTTATTCAAGCTGCTCTGAGGTTTCTTCTTGTCCCCTTCACCTGATGGATTCGAAGACGGAGTCTGGTTATTCAAGCTGCTCTGAGGTTTCTTGCTGTTCCCTTCACTTGCCTTGTCCTCCATCCGATGGTGGCGAACTTTGGTAGACTTTAAGCTCATTGGAACAATACAATGGCAAACGAAACCTACACACACCAACAATTACCAAGTTAATAAATTTCTCATATCAACAAGTTGCAGAACACTAACTATTCAAACTTGAGAACTTTATAACCCCTTCAATGACTGCAACAAGCTCATGTTGAAGATTCCTATCGTGTTAAAGGCTACGAAAAACTTTCAACGCAGCCACTGAACTCGGTAGGAATCTTCTGCAATGACTGCAAAAAATCATTGCCAAGAACAAACATTGAGACTTCTATGAAACTACCCAGAAGCTTCCTGATTCAACATGTCTAGAAAACAAGGTACTCTCTCCGTCCCAATTTATGTAACACTTAACTATTCAAAGTGTTTGAATTTTGACCAAACATTTTAAAATGTATTTTCCGAATATTCAAGCATGTGAAACAATAAATCTGACTGAAAATCTTACCAATTCTTGCTAGTCGATTAACCCAACTGGGAATTGGATTGTTAGTGAGTTTAACACAAGCATCACTACAGAAATGGTTACAATTCTTAGTAATAAGATTGTAAGCATTTCCTTTATACTTATCAGCAAGTTCTTCCATAACTCTTCTTACTTCTCTAGGTGTCTTCTCCGTCCATCCGATCAAAATTGTCTTCCTGAAAATAAATCCTTCACACTTTTTCGGCTCCCCTTCGAAAATTCCAGTACTTGGATACTCATGAGCTCCAAATGCATACTCAACTCCATGAACTAGCTACCATAACCCACCACCATCAACAAATAATTAGTATAAACTTTGCTACAGTTAATTAAGAAAAAACCAGATCTGAATAACAATGAAAAGTTTGAAGATTGAGTAACTGACCTTGAACGCCGGAATGGTAAACTCCGAGACCCAGCCAATAAGCATAACCATTCATCGGAGTTAGATCGTATACGTTTAAGTACACCGGCACCGATCCACGGCCATTATTAACTGATTTTTTGCAGCAGAGCATCTTGAAATAAAAACAGAGGAACTTTTCAGGTTCCTCGCATTGTGAAGATGTAAAGAAAGAGAATTCTGAATTTTCCGATTGATTGAGTTGCATTGAATTTCTGGTATATGTGGGCAGTACTTGGTAGGTAAATGAAAGAGGAAATGTGGGTCCTCTTATTTTGGAGTTGGCGGTGGAGTGGGGACTGAGGGTACCACCGGCGGCGATACAGTGGCCGTACCGGTAGGTATAAAAGGAGGAGAAGAGATTAGTTGGAAAATTGGAATCTTTCAGCCGAAGAGTGTATTATAATGGTGGCTGAGAGTGTATTGTGGAATGATGATCTGTGATTTCTCTTCTATTTTAAACTGATTTCTGTACTGTGGACTCTGCACTCTATCCAAATTTTTATAAAGAAAATTATTGGTCCGCATTTTAGACAATTTTTGAGTTTTTTTTTATTTTAAATAGTACTTTCTCCGTCCGCTTTTATTTGTCAAGTTGCGTTTTTCAAAAGTCAATTTGATCAATTTTCAAAGTTAAATTAGATTACATTAATTTGATATTTTAAACAAAAAATTTAGATATTCAAAAACTATACGTACTATAATTTGCATTTTTTGGCATATCAATATGATAAAAAAAATATGCATTATAAAATATTAGTCAAATTTTTTAAAGTTTGACTCTAAAAAGAAAAATTATGACAATTAAAAATGAACGAATAGAGTATTATGGATGAGTCATTAATAGGGTTTAGTGATCAATGAAATGGTTTAAAATCTATAGGTAAATAGGTGTGCTTTAACGTTAGAAAAAAAAGAAGTTGTTTTAGGAGTTAGTATTATGTTGTTTATATTAAAAATTGAAAAAGAAATTTTGAAAAAATAGTTTATATTCTTAAATAGTACCAAGTGTAGTTAGCCTCTTGAAAAAAGAAATTTTGAATCTTCAAAATTTGTTTAAAACTTTCAAAGGTCATATTAATTGTAGGGGAAAAATAGAAAAAATTAATTAATTCTATCCTAATTTAGTAAGTGATCAAGTAATATGTGAAAAAATATTTTCTAGTGAGATCTTCATCTAATATGAGACGGAGGGAGTATCTTTATATTTCACTTGAAGTTCATTAATAAGTATAACTACTAGTAAATTTTCATAGCCAAACAAGTACTCCCTTTGTCCCTATGTTCATTTTTTACTTGACACACTTATTAAGATAATAATAATTGATATAGTGAATTTACCATTTTATCATATTAATTGATATAATTTCAAAATCAATTTACTTCATTAAAAATGTTCTACTTTTTCAAAAATATTACTTAACTCTCTAAATAAATTAACGATATAATATGTAAAAAATATTATCTTTTTCTTGATTTATCAAAAATAGCAATTAAAAAATCAAAAATCAACCGGTAAAAAGGGACAAAGGAGTCTTAATGAAACAAACCAAGTAACACCCTTGTAAGCAGTGGCGGAGCTAGAATTTTTAATAAGGGGGTTCAAAATTTGAAGAAGTAAACATACAAATTAATCAAAGGGGATTCGACATCTACTGTATATACATAAAAAATAATTTTAATTATGTATAAATAATAATATTTTCTGTCGAAGGGGATTCGGATAAACCCCTGACAAGTCCTATTTGATTTACCCTATAATATAGTTATGTCAATATGACAAAGAAAACACATGTAGTTTTCTAACATTGTTGATTAGTTTACACTCTGTCGTTTTCTACCAAGAAATTTAAGGAGAATGCAACATATTTGTCCCTGCCTCCTTGTATTCCTTTTCTTTGATTCTTTTTCTCCCTTTTTCCTTTATCATACATAAATAATTAATAGATATAAAAATAATAATCATCATTCTTAATCAACTTTAGAGAGGCCAATTATGTCTCTAACTGCCCTTTCTAGCACCTAGCCTACCTTATTTTAAAAACATTAGGTGGTTAATTAATTATTAGCCAATTTACAACTAAAATGACTTTCAAGAAAAATATAAAATTGTGTAGAATGATACTTGTACTATTTGATTTTGATCTCAAAATCCATAAGATATGTTTGTGATTAATCCTTTTAATAATCTCTGAATATTTTTTTGGTTTAAACATCTTTGTCAAGAAGACACATTGATTGAAAACAAAGAACATGGATTGTTTTTTGATAAGTACCTTTAAATAATTCGTGTCTTGAAGAATAATTATCAATCGGTACCTGCTTTTGACTTGCTTAATGTGAATTTATGACAAATTAAAATTTTGATTCTCACAAATTTTACACGAAATTCTTTTACTACGTAGTTGTTTGGTATAATGAAAACATAAATATTCTATTAGTATCAAAGGAAGAAGATAATATTGTCAGATTAAGAGAAATGAGTTAGATACCACGTAAGGATTGTGGTGGAGTGATAAGTATTTTTTCATTTTTAACCAGAGGTTTCATATTCGAGTCCTCTTGGATACAGAGTCGCCTTTGTTAGGGAACGCTTAACCTTCAATATGGAACTTCTCGGTGTGAATTCGAATTTAGTTGAGTTCCAATATAAATACGAGACGGAAAAAAAAGAAAAAAGAAATGAGCTAGATTTTTCAAGAAAGTCAAGTGCTTTTTGTTTAGAACCTAAGATTAGTCTTCTTTACCTTTACTTAATATATATCTCAAGTAGAAAATATTTAATTTATATATTGGTATTTAAATTATAATTAATGCAACCACATTTGGTTCTCATTTGTCTCTGGGAAACCAAGAATAATGAATTAAATCAAGTCAAACAAAAACGTAAAGGGAGATAAGATATTTTGTAAAGCATGCTTAGCTTTGGCCTTTGGGGGCATGTATGTTGAATAAATAGGGTCAAATATTAAAGATCCCTTAGAATAACGCACAAGACAAATTGGGCTTGAATTATAAACCCAAAATACAATTGATTATTTTCTTCAATTCCAACTTATATAATTGGTATATATACTGCACTTTCAACACGTACGTTGCGTCAAGGTATTATATAATTTTGTATCATGAAATCTTGAGTAAAATATTATATATAAAAGAGTGAGTTTTTTATGAATGATTAATTAATGTGGATGATCATCGTATGATGACTTGTTTGTCGAGGTAAAGATGATTGGATCTAGTTTGAACATGTGAATGTGAACTATAATTAAAGTTTATTTCAAATGACATTTTAAAACGTTTCATGTCATGAAATCTTTAAAAAGGAACACTTAAGCGTGTGAGTATTTGATTTCATTACTATTATCTTTGAGATAAGTGTCAAAAACACACTTAAACTATACCATTTTTTTGAGTTTCATACCTAAACTATTGAGAGTGTGAGTTTCATACCTAAACTATCATTTTTTAGTTTGAGAAACACACATATATTTGTTATACCACTCTCATCATGGTATGTGTAATACACTCTTTCTTTTATTTTAAAAAATTATCACATCACACTCCATATGGACAAAATATTCAACTTTGACAAAAATTAAATAAATTATTAGTATTAGTTAAAATTTAAAATTTAAAAATTATTATCCAAAAAAATAATATTTCTTTATAAAATAAAATGTAAAATATTTTTCTCACCCCCTCCCCCCACCCCCCGGTCATTTATTTTTGTTTATTTTTGTTTAAATTTCTTTTATAAAAGTACTTTTTTTTTACTTCATCTCCTCTCCCTCCCCCCTTTTCAAATACTAATTTAGATATTATTTTATTTTTAAAAAAATTCTACTCTCCCCACATAACCCTCCGCTTCCAATTTTTTTCTCATTTAGTGTTAAATATGTACATATCGAAAATATTTTTTACTGGCCACCGCAAGACTTTTTTTAAGTTTTAATTTATTTATGTTATATTCGTACACTAGTAAAAAAAAAATCTAAAAATATATGTACGTACATATCTAACACAAAATGAGAAAAATGTAAAAAAAAAAAAGAAAAAATAAGGACCGGAGGGTTAGAATAGGGTAGAATTTTTATTTTTTATAAAATAAAAAAATATCAATTTTTTTTTGGGGGGTACGTAGAGGAGGTGGTGGAGTGGGTAAAAAAAATAATTTAAAATAACTTTTTTTTTATGGATAGTAATACTTTAATATTTAATTTTTTAATTAATATTAATAGTTTTATTATTTAATTTTTATCAAGGTGAAATATTTTATCCATGTGGAATGTCATGTGTCAAGGTTTTTTCAAAATAAAAGAGAGAGTGCATTACACACACCATTGGGGTGTGTTTCTCAAACTAAAAAAATGATAGTTTAGGTATGAAACTCACACTCTCAATAGTTTAGGTATGAAACTCAAAAAGATGGGATAGTTTAGGTGTGTTTTTGACATTTATCTCATTATCTATCCTTGCGTCTGAAATTCAATACGCCAAGTTGTCCTAATGCAATGAGTAAAATGAACTTTCTCCATTTCTACGTCAATACATGAAGAACAAAAACAAAATTGGTAGCACT